AAAGCCTCATATCAACAAACATACACTATATACAGAAATAAATTAACAACACCTCCAACGGGGCCGCAACAGCAAATCCCCGACAGTTATCAACAGATACCTATCTACAGATTGAAAAAGGACAATAATTTAGTAATAAATACTGATTATTAGCTGGACTTGGCTGTGTTATAGAAAAGCCTTGGACTGAACATTTTATTACACCCCTGTCACAGAGATCTTGCCCCCATTTCTAGTCATTTTTTATATTTACAAATTAGATTCTGTTTAATAAAATATTTTTTTTTCCATTTTAGAGTCCGTTTAAAACGGAAAAGAAGCAAATACATGATTCAGAACTGAGCCTTGCAGGCCCGGTCCTCATGTTTGACACAAGCCAATATTGACACTGCAGGGCAGCATAGCCTGGTCAGCAGCCAAGGCGCCCTCGTCCTGTCACTTCGTGCTCAGGATGTTATTTCTCCAATAACATTCCAGTTTGGCCAAGGGTGTAATAAACTCCGGGCAGACTGCAGTGAGGTCACACTTCAGGCAGGGCTCAGCAGTTTGGTAGCTCCTTCTCCCCTTGGAATAGGGCAGGGACTCCACTCCCACTGCTCCACCATTGCACTCTGGGAATTCATGGCAGCACAGTACTGCCCTCCACTAGGGAGCGGTTCACATGGCTGCCCCAGAGAGGAACCGGGGCTGCAGAATCATTCACACAGGCTGTACCCAGAGGTATCATACACAAGCATCCAAAGCTCACTCATGCACCCAACCTGACTGCTCCTACTCCCAAAGGGAGCAAAGCCAGCTACTGAGCAGAGAGAGTACTGCCCCAGCCAGGCTGCCCCTTAGCACCTGCCAGCCCTGCAGCTGAAAGGGGCCCAGCACTACTTCCTCATATCTGAGTGGGGAGGGGAGTCAGTGTACTCGCAGGTCCCCACCCTTCTCTTTACTATGGTGGGAGGCAGCAGTGTACCCTGGCAGGAAGGGAACCTTCCTCTGAGGTGGGAGCGTTAGTGTTTGTTCCTGCCAGAAAAACCACAGCTTGAAGCATGGCGCTTCATTCAGGAAGGCGCCTGCAAGCAAAAGGAGCAGTCCCCTCCCAGCGATGTCCTCCCTGTGGGCTGGTGAAAGGACAGGACACAGCCCCCATCTAGCCATTACCCTCTGGCCACTAGGGGTGTGGTGGGGGGAGGGACTCTGCTCATAAAAGGTTGGAAGAGATATGCCCCCCCCATGCATTTCATACCAGAGACCCAGGGATGGTGGTGACCATCCAGGATCTCACACACACACCAGCCGACCCAAGGGGAGAGTGCTCTGCGTGCCCTTCCCCACCTGCATGAACCCTCACAGAGCAGTCCTAGCTCTTGCCTGCACACTGCAGTCTGCCTCTTCCTCTCCCTAAAGGGAAATATCCATCATGTTGCCTAAGCCAAGAGATCACTTTACACAATTCACCACAACATACACAAGTCCCTGTGCACGCCCTGGGTGGGACAGCCACGCCTACACCCAGCCATGCGAGGGTGGATACACTTCACGGGTTCGCTTTGCAGCCAGGCCAGGAGCAAAAACCCCACCCGCTGCGTCAAAAAGGTACCAGAGAAAGAAAACACAACACCCTTCACAGCAGGAAACCAAATGAACAAGCACCTCGAAAACAAGAACTGTCACACTCTGAAACGCTATATATGAGAGAGAGAGAGAAAAAAATCAAGTGAGGGGTTGGGGGGCCTGACTCACACTGGGACAATCCATAAACACAAGAAGCTGACTGGTGCTGGGGTGAGTGAGGGAGTGCCCCCTTTAGCATAAACGGGGGATTCCCTGAACACAGGGGCAAGAAGGTATTCAGATTTGATACTTCACTAAAATCAAAGAACCAAAACCACTGACGTGGGGCACAGACCACAGAGAGCTCCCCAGAGCCCCTCCAACACACCGGACACTGACGTGGGGCAGAGCACAGCCCGCAGGAAGCTGCCCAGAGCCCCTCCAACACACCAGTCACTGACGTGGGGCAGAGCACGGCCTGCAGGGAGCTGCCCAGAGCCCCTCCAACACACCGGTCACTGACGTGGGGCAGAGGCACCAAGCACAGAGAAGGGAAGCAATTTGCCCAAGGTCACACCCGGAGCCAGTGGCTGAGCCAAGAGTGGAACCCAGGAGTCCTGGCCCCCAGTGCTGAATTCATGACTCCACATCACACAACCACAGCTTTGCTGTCTTTGCACCTAAATCCTCTATGTTGAGATGTGATGTTACTGAATATGCTCAGCCAATCAGAGAGCTGTTTGGGATAACAGACTAACAAGCACAATAAATAAAAATGTCAAGAAGTGGAAAAGATTCTGTCTGAGTCAGTGTCTGCTCTCTCCGTCCTCCGGCACTCATGGAACCCAGCCCTAAAGCATCCTCTCCCGGTAAAGGCATGGACCAGGACTCCTCTGAAGATGGATGATGGGTGAGATGTCAGTCAGGGAGGGAAGTTCCAGGGTGTTAGTAGGATGGAAAGGGATTGGCAGCCACTAACAGGGGTCTCTCTGGCCGCGTGTATCTTCTCAGGAAGATGGTCGCCACCTGCTCCTTCTGTTGCACAAAAGCTGATGGGGCCTCCTCAAACCAAACCCTCTTGGAGCAAGAGCACAGCACCCAGCTCGCTATATAAATACACCCCTGGCAACAGCATCCCCTGCATCCCAGGCAGGGCAGACATGTTAGGCTGGCTCAGAACTGCCTTCTGCACTCAACTTCATGTGGGGTACCCAATTTCAAGCTGGTTCCAAGGGGAGTCTGGACTTAGTATTCTGGGCTCATTTCAGGGGTCTGTAGTTGAATAACACCCAGCGGTTGGCACCTTCTGAGCAATGGGAAGACAAAAGACCCAGAAGACTGGGGAGTTAAATCCCAAGGAGCCACACTGCACACTGCGCAGTCACTAGCCCTTCCGGAGAGTTACAGTCTCAGCAGGTTCCTGGAGGCTGAGACCAGAGATGGAAGACACCTACTTTTCATAATGGAGACTAGAGAAAGACCCATGGTTTGGCAGGGGGAACATGGGGAAGATGGGAAGACCTCCCCAATCCTCTCCTCTGTCCAATGCAACTCACTGGGAAGTTCGACCCCAACAGCTTCCTCCTGGATCCCAGATCAAAACAAAGCAGAAAAAACCCTCCGGAGTAAGGGTGGGACTGAATGGAAAATCCTCCACAATGGACTATTGCTCTGCTCTGAGCCCGCACATTCCAACCTGTCCTTGGCCCTCCCTCTTCTCACTGAATGCTGGGCTTTGGCAGGCATACCTGCTTCTCCGTAAAAAGCAAAAATCTCTGCCCATGAGTGGGGTGGGCATGAAATCTGTGCCCCACTAGATAAGGTCAGCAATACAAACAGGCTCCTAAGCTTGGTGCTGGGCTAGGCTGCAGCACCATGTGCTCTGTCCCCTACACTCAGCCTGCATCCAGCAGCCCAGAGATCACCATATGGAGCTCAGTGTCCCCTGTCAGGCTGGTCTCTTCCCACTGTCCTGCCACCTGGGGGTAACAGCTGTGAGCTTTAGCTTCCAGGGGAACAGTTTGTGGGAAGGGATCAAGACCTCAGATAGCATCTTAGCTCCGTCGCACAGCCTTGCAAACTACGCGCCAGCCTAACATACACATCACACCTAGAAGACGCTGCACCAGGAAGTCGGGGAGGTTGGATGGAGAGGAAAGAAAGCAACTATGCTCTGGCTTCCCTTTCGGTACTATGCAGACACTCAACAGCAAGGGAGTCCATCACCAGGACTGATGCAACTTCCTGCCCTGCTCAAATGCACGAGGCTCATGGCCAGCATCTAATGAGCACTTAAAGTTCTTACCGCAGGATCTAAAAGGAAACCAAAGCCCAGAGCTATTTCCCATTAGTCTCCTCCTAAACATGACCTCTTGGAACAATCTCCATTGCTTCACTTCCCCTGCCATCTTTCCTGCTTGAAGAGTAGGGGGAAGCAGTCTTACAACAGTCTGCCATGTTCAGGTAACAGAGCTACCAAGAACAACCTGGTTAGCAACAGCCTCCAGCAGCAGCTGTACCTCTGAGGCGGGTGGCTGCCAGCTAGGGAAACAGGCTGTTGGACAATACAAAAGGACAGTGCAGAAGGAGAGGCTCATGGAGATGTGGCACCATCTGTTCACACCCATCAAGTTGTTCTGACTTCAGTTTAGAAAGGTCAGGGTGGATTTTGGCCCTCACTGGTTGGGGAGCAACCTCGCCTATGTGCCAAGGACCCACTGCAGGCCTAGGACAGTGCCCATGTCAATCCCTGGGAAAGCAAAGGCAGCGTGAAGACAGGACATCCAGACAGCAAAGGCAGCTATTGGCACCATCACATCACAGCGCCACACAAGAGCTCAGAGAGCACGGACAGCGCAACACAGTGGGAACACGAAGGAAGCCAGCGAGTTCAAGAATAAGTCACTTTTGGTACAATTGCAAAAAAGATATCAAACAGGACTTGCCTCTTTTTTTGTCTTTTTCTAAATTTTATAAATAAAGTCTGATAACTCTTTATAAAAACTAACCTCGGAGCCACAGAGAGTTTGCAGGAGGTTCATGAGAAACTTTAAAATTATTTTTCTTTATTTACTTTTCAGCTAGCAGAGACTGAGAATATTTCTCCATTTATACGGTCAAATATTCCCGCCTGCTCAGGTAAAAAAAGCCGACTATAAATATGCGCTCTCTTCTGTCTGATTTTAAACTTAGATAATTTAATAACTCTTAAAATGAATGTTTCTCTCTTTAAATAAAAGGACTATTTAACCACAAACTGGTTGTGTAAACCATCACACTAGAGACACTTGATACCCTCAATAGATGGGAAAAAACTAGTGATTTTGGTCTTGTTCAGTGCAACATGTTAGGCACAAAACTGGCCTTCAGTCACTATGGTACCTCCTCCTCCTCCCATTGCTGGCCCCCATAGTGTCCCCATCATCTCCCCCCCCTACACACACACACACACACACACACACACACACACACACCTCCAGAGCAGAGACACCAGGGAACTGCAGTTTCCTCCCTTCCATTACTGCATGTGTGTGGCTGGTGCAGTGAAAGTCACAAGGAAACCTGCCTTTGGGACACAGGCGGTGCATCTAGAAGTTAACATAAACTCAGTTACACAAACTACCCCCACGGCAATCACTGATACCAAGCGAGACAGAAGCAGCAGATTTGGGCACCTGGCAAACAGGCACCGAGATATGCCACTTGGAAGTATAATGGAATAAATCCTTCAGAAGTGACTGAAACCAGGGATCCCGACTCCCTGCCACAGAGCCTCCTCTGCCCTCCCATTCCCAACCCACTGAGAAGCGTCATGGGCCTCAAGCACACACCTTCCTCCATGCTGTGCAGAATTTCTTTGGCTAGAACACCAAGGTCTTTCACAGTCTCTATCCCAAGGATGCCCCAGAGGGCTGTAGACCCATAGGTGGGAGGCTCTGTTTGCACAGGATGGGGGGGTGTCACCACTGGTCATATCAATCTGAACAAGACAAAACACAAAACTGGAGTGATCAGCAGGCCAGTCCCGAGCAGAGAGGAGGGAGTCCTGACCCACTAGGAAAAGGGTTTGTGCTTTGGGGATTCCAGGTTAGCTTTGCGCCTAACTGCCCTGCACAGACAAGCCCAGGCAGCGTTGCTTTACTAAGACCGGGCGTCCGTTTTGGATTTCACTATCGTGATGACGCTGGTGGTGGCGACTTTGCCAGGGACGAGGGGACCCATGCTGGAGGTGATAGGGCCCCGAGCTGGGGCCACAGGACTCCGGGCCACGGTTCTGGCGAAGTTCTGGAGCGCCTCATACTTGGAGCGGAGAGCATCAAGTTCCATTTTCATGCTGGCGTTCTCAGAAGCCAGCTTCTCCACCTCTTGCTGCAGCTCTGCCTTCTGCTTCTCCAGTTCCTCCTTCTGGGTGACACGCTTGACACGACAGCTAGCCGCGTAGCCTCGGTTCTTCAGCGTTCGCCGACGCTGCTTCAGCTGGATGATCTCCTCCTTGGACAGGCCCCGCAGATGCTGGTTCAGCTCACGCACAGACATGGTCACCAGCTCCTCATCTGTCAAGCTGGTCCCATTCTCGCCCGGCTCCCGCTTCACCTGTGGGAAGAGGAACACACGCATTATTGCGATCGCCCGCATAGCGCCAGCTGCTTGTCACCCATGCTCCCAGGCCCCCCCTCCCCTTTACCTTTAAGGCTTTGTTTCCTTTGTTGGGGGTCGTCATAACACGAGAGCCTGGTCAGTCAGGATCTGAAAGAAAGGAGGGGAAGGTCAGAGGTTGGCCTGTGGGATCAACTCCCCAGGGGCAACCTAACCCTGCACAGCACCCAGGGGCTCCAACAGGGGAGGCTGGGGCAAAGCCTGCTGCCAGTGCCAGTCTCTCCCACATGCTATGCTTAGCAAACACCTGTCTCCCAGTCTGAACCAGACAGACTCACAAGCAACTGATCCTGCCCCTCAGCAGAAGCTGCTGCTGCTCATCTCTCTCCTTCCTCACTCGCGCGCCTGTGAAGACTTAAGCCAAGTGCTGGCAGTGGCTGGGGAGAGAATGGGGCGGGGGGGGGGGGCAGAAGGAAGATTAGAAACACTGGGAGGAGTCAGAGTACAAGGAAGCCACATATTTAAAAATAGCCTGGCAGGCTGGGTCCAGAGCATGGCTGTTCCAAGCCGGTCATGCTGACTCAGCACATTGGCAACCTCTGAGCCTCTCTCAGCCACCCCCCTCCTCACAACCAACCAGGTGGAGTCATGTCAGTGTCCTCCCTCCATAGGGGGCCTGAAAACAGACACCGTTACCTGTGACCCTTTCAGGCTGGGGGCCAGAGAGTCCAGAGGACCCAAACCGGTGAAGGCCGAGGAATGGGAATTCCAGAAGTAGCTGCGCCGGGGGAAAGCCACTGGCTCGGCTAGAATCCCCTGCTTGGCAGCCCAGGAAGCAGATAGTCACCACTCTCCGCTCCCGCCACCTGACCTGCACTGTCCCTCTCACCCCACAGTCCAGGGGTACATGTCTACTTAGCAAAGCTCCACGGCCCACTCAGAGGTGAGAGAGGGTAGAGGGCCTCTGCAGCACTGGAAAAGTATTCGCCCTGCCAGCCACCATAAAAGAATCCCATTGTCTGTTTGGACTGGTACCACACAAGCCCCACTTCATGCCTAAGTATTTCCTCAACCCCTAGCCTAGCTGGCTTCTGGCAACCCAGCCTCTCTGCAGGGGCTGGGCACTTTCCACCTGACACGCTCCTCCTCCTGTTAAAATGCCAGGGCAAAGGCCCACCACCACGGGTAGTCAATAGGTAGACTGTGGGCCAAAGCCGGACTGCTAGATGCTTTTGAACAGACTCTGAAATCTTATCATCATCATTATTGTTGGGGCTGTTTGTTTTTTTTTATTATTATTATTATTTTCTCTGGAGTCTGGACCTTGACCAAGAAATTTGGACCTTGACAAAATAGAATTGATTATCCCTGCCACCGCTTTCCCCTCCTCATTCAGGGTAGCGAGTTCAGAGACCAGGAGTGATAAATTAAAGATGAAGAGGCCACAGAAAGAAGAGAGTGGATCCCTTTGCTATCACCAGTGGGAAGATTTGAGCTCTTCCCGTCACACAGCAGCCAACTGGGATTCAGACACAGGTACACTGACAGCTGTAATGGAGACTCGTGCTCCTAGGTCCTTAGTCCTCTAGGTCTGCCGTTCTAGAAAGACAGTAATAAACCACCACCCTGTCTAGGGTTTGCTACTGTGAAGCCTCCTGAAATCCCACTTGACATAACCACAGCTGTGCCCCAAACAAGAAGGGACCGTGAGCCCCCCTAGAGATCTGCCACTGCCAAGACTGGGATGAGCACTCCCATCCAAATCCAGACTGAGAACACCTTTATATTTGTGTCCTATCCAGTCGCAAGCACAGTTAACGCTTTCATAATAAAAAAACTAATCACATGCAAGAAACATTGACACAATGCTGAGAATCCGACACAAAAGTCAGTAAATGCCAAGTTACGGTGCTCCAGCAACTGCGGCTCAGGCATCATGCAATGCATCTACCACCACCCACCAGAGAAGAAAGGCTTCAGCACGTTCCAAGATTCCCAACAAACTGGCAGGATTCAAATGCTTCTAAAGTGCCAGAGGCTACTGGGAGGTAAGTAATTTATGCCCAGAGGGGACAGCCTTAGCCACTCACAAGATGCTAACTATGCTGCTATAAAAGGTCATTTCTGTCAGCCAGCCTCCACTGGAAGCTGTTGCACAAAGAGCAGGCTAGCACAGGCCATGAGCAGGACGGTTTGACGGGACACCAGCAACTGCTTCGTAAAATGTATTCTTCCCTCTTCATTGGGTCATTTCGTTCCCTCTCACTTTCGGGAGAAACACTGAATCTTCCCCACACCCCACTACAATGGAGTTGAAGTAGTCGGTTTACTTCCTCATTCATGGAAAAAGGGCTCTTACTGGCAGGAGCTGCAGAACCGGGGGGAGGGGGGCAACTCTCACATTTGTAGACCCTACAAATTTAGCCTTGACACTGATATTTTAGACTATATAAACATTTAATATCCAGACTATAGTCCCAAGCAAAGTATTAATATGGGGGAGGGGGACAGAGGCAGATTCACTCAAATTTAGGGCCTGAGCTGCTCAGCAAAGTTCCTCAGCATGAAAATTCCAGATCTCCATTAAGCACGTCACAGGAGCTGCCCAGAGAACACGGCCTCACCCTACCCTTCACCCCCTGCACTGTGCAGTATTTACATATGCCCCTTTACTGCTAAAACATTGAATTCCTGCAAACTGGGTGTTTGAATGCACTGGGCTGTCAGGAATAGGCGCTATCATCCCCCCCACTCCTCAAGCTCCCAAAATCATACAGCCCATGCAAACTGCTTCCAGATCTGAGAGTCACTCTGGGAACAAGGAGAGATCTGAGAAGAGTCAGGGACAGGTGGGAGCTGAAAGGAACCAGTGGTGGAGATGCAATGGCTAGGTGCTTCCAAGCCACTGCAGGTGGTCAGACAGCTGGGATGGAATGGGGGTAGGAGAAAGATCAACAGCTTGGAAAGGAGCCAAGGAGTGGGAGAAGCTGACGACAACTAAACTCTTCCTTGTGTCTTAAGGGTTAAAAGGGTTGAACAGAAGGAATCCAATTTGTCAGGCCTTGTTCTCTATCCAAGCCTAGCCTCCCAGCACCTCTGCAGCTGTAATAAGATTCCAGTTGAAAGCATCTGATGGTTCAGCACCCCCTCTCAAGAAGAGATCAAAGATGGAGAAGCATCACTCAGAAGGTATCAGTGCCTGAGTCTCCATCACTGAGGGGAGGACAAGGGAAAGGCTTGCTGGTCATTTTCCAGCCCTGACAGGAAGGCCAAAGGCAGGGCTATTCAGAAGCCTACACAGAGGACACTCAGAACTGTCATCAAGGCAGAGACACACTTGGTCTAACTCCCCAGACTGCTGATTTCTCAGCTTTTCACTGGCTTCATGAAGAAAGATCACACTGAAAAGTGCCAAGTACAATGGCTCCAAGGGGAAAAATGCAGCCTCAACACATTTCCCCAGAACTCAAAAGGCCTGAACTCAGCACAAGCACAGCCAATTCTCTCCTCAGCTAAAAAAAGGCACAACAGAGCTGACAGCAAAACGCATGATTCAACACAGGCCCCATTCTCAACATTCCCAATTCACAGAACTGTGCCATCAAACTAGTGTAAACACACTGACGTCACTCCTTCCAGCAGCACAGCCAGCCTGGAGACGGCTCCACTAAGGGAGGCCCATCCTCAAGGAATGTAGAAGCCGGAGGAAGGAACTGCACCATAAGAGGTTTTGCAGGGAGGGTGGCAGGCCAAACAGTGGTGCTTACACAGGCAGTAAGGACACCGCTTGAATATACTCCCTGACTGTATGTGTGGAAGTGGAGACAGTACTTCCTCTGAAACTCATCTCTTCAGATCACCCACAGATTCACGCTGCAGCAGATGGGCCCCAAGTCGAACTAGTGCCCAGAGCATCTTTGCAGTGCAGCTAAAATACCTGTCTCCAAGTGCACAGTTTAGCTGAATTCAGACAGCGAATGGGACTAGCTGATTCTCAGATACTCCTTCCCTCAGCACGTTAACCCCTTTCTAAATGCACAGCTCTGCTGGGCAAGGTGTATAACTTACATAGGAGATGGGAAGTGGCCTAAGACGGTGTAAAGCAGAGGCCTTCCCAGCTCTGAGCAGCAAACCTTCATGCAATAAGCTGTCATCTGAGAATCCTGTCTCCCAGAAGCAGGAAATCCCAGGACACAAGAAAGGAGAATAATTCTACTGTTGAGCAGGACCTGCAGCCCACCCTGAAACCTGGGAGGGAAAGGTTCCAGAGGCGCCTGCTGCTCCCTACTGCATGCAGCTCAAACTTTCTGAACCCTTCCAAACCTTGTCAGCTCTGGGCAGGGGGCAGGAGACTACAATTAAGCGTCAACCAGCAGCATGTCTTTCAATGAGCAGCAACTCACCTCACACTTCTCCCTCAAACCTGGATACTGGTTGGGCTCAGGAGAGCCCATAGAGTGCAATTCTCAGTCCTCTCTAGAGCATGCAATGAGCCTCTGCACCTCTAAACCCCTTTCCCCTAAGAAAATATTTTAACAGTAACAGAACAAAAACTCACTCCCCCCCAATGGTACAATGTCCAACAGCTGCCCCAACTCAGAAGCTTTCATTCCAAGTGACACTGTATAGAAAAAACAGAACAGAGGAGCCCTGCGCACCCCCGAGTCAGGTCTCTGGGGTACAGAGACAAGCAAACGCTCAGATCTAAAGGTAGGAGGGATGGCAGCTTCTTGGCTTGTCCTTTTCTCCAGCTTTTTCCTTCATGGGGAGACCACAGATGAAAGAAATAGCCCAGCCTCTGGGGTGACTGACAACACAGATGGCTGAAGAAAGTCTTCTGTCAGCCCTCACCTGCCACCTCATACAAAAGAGCAACCACCACCCCCTCAGCTCAGAAAGCCCCGGATCACGGCCAATGAGGTTACTGAACAGCAGACTGTGGAACACAGCAGGTGCATTGGCTCTAGCAGAGTCTTCTCCTGCAGTGTACATCTTCACATCCAAAGGGACTTGCACCTGCTGCTCTTCATATACCTCTACTCCATCCAGAGGAGCTGGCAGAGCAAATAGAAACCTGTACCTCTGCTGATCACCCAGGTAAGAGGGAGCAGACGTGCTGCAAAGACTGACATTACAGTAACTCCCAGCATGCAGGACAACTTGATGCAGAGGCCATCCATGTAATAAAGCAAACCAACCAAAATAAACACAGAACATGCTTGTCTGGACCCTTCCTTCCCCCTACACCCATCTGTAGATCTTTCTCAGAATGGGAGCACTTAAATATATGGAGATATACCTATCTCATAGAACTGGAAGTGACCCTGAAAAGGTCAGTGAGTCCAGCCCCCTGCCTTCACTAGCAGGACCAAGTACC